TCATCGATGACACACAAATCAGTCGAAGTGCAAATCCATTTAGGGCTTTCCAAAGTAGAATTGTTTAGGAAGAAAGAGAATTTAAAAGTTTAAGATAAGTCATAATCTGTTATAACTTCATGATTTAACTATTTTAGCGGAAGCGGCCACATTACAAAAGTTTTAATTTCTTACAGAATCGACCTGTGTAATGAACTTGAATTAAATTTTTATTTGAGAAATTTTGAAAGTGGGTAAACAAAAATAGTTTTATATTCATTTATTTTTATAGTTTTATATTTATGTAAATGAGTTATATTTTCAGCAAGAAAAACTTTTCCTCGAAGTTTTTAAAATATTGGCGTATCAGTTTACAATTTGCTTTGGCTCGGTATCTACAAACCTTGGGTTTTCCGTTTGCGCAGTGACGACTAGGAACAACAGGACAATGACCAATCTCAAAAACTCACTAGATATTGGCATCTTAATGCCCCTCTGTGTTTTTGATGCGTAGCACTTGGGCATTTATTTTTTGTTCTTTAATTTTATGTTCTTTAATTAAATCGCGAAGGATATATCGTCGATGTTTTTGCAAAACCGCCTATCTTACGGCGTTCAAATTTTACAGGAGAGCGAAAAAACGGTATATTCTTTAAAGGCATTGCCTTGATAGGCGGTATTTTCTCTAGCTATTATTTTACGAATCTGTTGTTTTAATAACGATTTAACGATTTTTATTCATAAATCTCGATGCCTGGAGTTCAGGTTTACCAAATCTCATTTTTGCCACAACGACGATTTACGCAGTTTTGCAACTGGTCAATGGGACGGTTTTGCAAAAACATCGACGATATGTATTTTGTAAATTTTATTTGTATACATACATATGTCTATATTTATATATGTACTACTTGTTATTAATACTAGAGTTGGGCACTTTAGTTCTTTTGAGTGAACCGTTCAGTTGTAGTTCGTTCACCTTAGTGAACTAGTTCTTTAGTTCATATAGTTCATGTAGTTCAACTGACGAGTACATTTACATATAGACACCATTCTGGAAGATCGACCTTTCACGGCAGCCAGTTCGAAAACGCGTTATCTCAACATACTTTCAGTTGAATTAGCGCGTTCTTGAAAAGTTTTCTGAGATAGAGCGTTTTCGAACCAGAATAATTTTCGCCACGAAAGAGCTTCTCATAAAAAACCATAGTTGGGACGAAGGAGGCATAAACGTCTGGTGTGTTAACTTCAAGCCGCAATTTTAAAATTTAATAAGCTTCAATGACCAGAACCATTCTTTGCAATAGGATCACAAACCAGCAAAAAAGAGTTTAGGAAAGAAGAAAGAACATATAGAGAACTGCACTGGAACCAAGTCACTGACCAGCGTCAGGCAAAGAAGCCATTGGGAAAATACAATATCAAAATACGTGATAAGCTCATTAACCTCTTAAAGAAAGCACTAAGATTTCTAACAGGTCGTTGCAAATTAAGAAGTCATTCACACAAACTCGGAATCTGGTGTAATGGTTCATGTCGTTTCTGTGACATGACAGCTGACGCTGACAGCTGATGAAGTGACGAGAATACGAAAGAAGTCCGCGTCATAAGCTCTCGATGCCACCAAATAACCTACTGGATTTGCTAGGATATACCGGGGTGCTGTAAGGCGCAAAAGAGCGCAATAGATCTCCTGGTCGCAGTGCATTCCTTAAGCGAATATCCATCTATATTTTGACTTAATATTCTGATTTAGCAGAAAATTTTATATAAAGAATAGAGGTAAAATGTCACAGGTCGGATTTCTTGTCGAGAAGTATATTTTTTTTTTTGCGTAACAGGGAAAAGTTAGTTGAAAAATTACATCAAAATAAAAAGTTAAACCCTCGGTTTTCCGATTTATGGTATTGCTAATAGTTTTATTGTAACTTAGGACATGGTTTCGGACTAGTAGTAAGTAGTATCATTGTATGAAAAATATTTAAAAAAATTTCGCGGTGATTCCAAAAATTTTACCTCTCAGCGCTAGCTTGCAATGTAAATCGTTATCGTAATTTACAAAATTTTCGAATGAGTTACTGTAGAAAAGTGAAATCAAAACTATTTTTTTTTTTAATCTATTGTTATTGAACCTTGTACCACGATTATGTTTATTAGGAAAAATGGAAAAAGCAACAAAGTCTAAGCGGTATTTCGAAGATCACCACATCTCCTCATCAGACTTCTTTTTATAGACTTCAGGAGTGGTGCATAGCTCAGTGGTTAGCGCTTCTGACTTGCACATCGATGATGCGGTTTCGATCACTGCTGAAGTCTAGAAAAAGAAGTCTGATGAGGGCTTCTACCGCTTAGACTTTGTCGCTTTTTCCATTTTTCCTAATAAATATAATCGTGGTGCAAAGCCCAATAACAATATTACAATAAAATGTTGACAAATACTAAATTTTTTTTAAATCCTAAAACTTAAAATTAAGTCAAGTGGAAGCCCGCCTCCCACCACATATACGATTAGAAAACAAACTGTAGTCAATTTATGCTATGTAAACTGTACAAACTTGAATGAAAATATGCGTACATATATATTTCGTCTGTAGCTAATTGTTTGCATTAAAATTTTTTTAAGAACTTATAAACCGCTTGCTCTTAACTCGTTAGCACTCAATACATATGTAGTAATAAGTAAGTCTTTAATAAAATTATTTCACGATTTGAATAAACACATAATGTTTGTATACATATTAATTTGTTTATGTATGTACATATGCACCGGTATATTTATGTTTTTAATTTACACGCATAATTATCATGATTCAATAATTAAAGGATAGTTAAACTGACAGTTGTCTCTCTTGCAGCGCTCCCTTAGCAGTGGCACCGTGTTAAAGCACATTTAACTGATGAAACAAAAATTGTTTTTAAATTTGATTTGATTTACATAAAACTCATAGTAGTTTTATTTTAATTTTTAAGCCCTTTGGCAGTTTATATACCACTAAATAGCACATAAATCACTTAATTCACGTAGATAACTTAATATTTCTTTGAATAAGTGCCTATTTTGCGTACTTTTCTACTACCATTTTAACACCACGGGATTTCGTTCTTCCCCTTTCTCTCTCCTTCGTAAATGCAACCTTTTGTAAAAGAGTGGCAAACCGCGGCTGTCAATAACTAACCTTTAATTATTAAATCACGAATAATTATCATATTTAACACTTCACACATGCTACTGACTCTATCACTTCTTGTTAGTGACAGTTTTTTCTCACATCTTTAAAAAAAAAAATGTATCATTACATGGGTAAACAAATTTGTATATATGTAGATCACTTTTAAAATGTTATTGCATATTAAGTCGCGTAGGCCTCTCGGTGGATGTGCATTAATTAAACGCCAGACCGCCTATTGTTCCCAACCACCCACAAGACTCGATTCGCGCTCTCCAATCGTTGCCGCACGATCACCGAGCAGTTACAATTGAAAGTTACTACTTGCTTGCCACTACTGAACGCACGCTCTATCACCAGCTATATGTAGCAACCCATGCAATTCAAACCGCTGCAAAAGCTCAACTAAACGATTTGTTGTGCGCGCTATAAACCTAACTTACACGACCGATAGGCGACCGGCATGTTGATTTGCATGTTGTTGGGTGATTGAAGTATAAAAATGTAAGTATACATATGTACATATGTATATACTATGTGGTATATACTAGTTACTTATGTATGCAGTACGATAAAATAAGTATCGTGGGGACTATTGTGTCAGTTCTGCGGGAAAGAGCTTGAAATCAAAAGACCCAATAAAATAAATACAAACATATTTTCATACTTACCCAATAAACAATTTTTTTTATATCTCAATTTGAGATGCATTTGAGTATCAATCCATTTCTCAAGCCTCAAACGTTAGTACTCAAGTGCCTCTCAAATAACTGTTGATAGCGTTCGCAAACTAACCAACTAAAAGGCTCTTTTTAATATGAAATTTTCCTTTAATTTCAAGTGGAGAAATATTTAATTCTTGGCTATTTATCAAATGTGAGTGGCACTGAACGAAATGGTTTGCGAAGTAATTTTTGACAAAATAAAAAAGGACTATACAATTTTCCTTTAATTCTATCTTATATAAAAAGATGTTTATGTACCTATATTTAACCTGTTTATGCTTTATTAAAAATATACAAATTACAAAAAAAAGTGCACTCAGTGGAAAAAAATTTTCACATTTTCTCCGATTCCGGGATTTATTGGAATTTTTTCTTCACACAAAATTAAAAAAAAAATTGTTTTATTTGGATTTATGGGATTTTCAGTAGAGCATAAACCCCTTTATCACCCCTTTTAATATAACCAGTGTACGAAAATAAACTATATTGTACGTTACTATTTCATTTCGTTTATTACTTCAACAGTTCGGTACAATACAAAACAAAACGGCTGAGTTCACTTTGGCGATAGTACACTACAGTAGTTTAGTAGTTACAGACGAAACAACAAACGAAATGAATCGTGCAGAGAAAAATATATGTATGTATGTACACATACACAATAACTGAACACAAAACGAATGGCTGCCGTAAAAAAAAAAATTAAAAATGTTTTTTAATTCAATTGGATATGAAAATTTACAGAAAAAAATATTTTTCACGTAATTGAAACGTTTGCATACATATAAAACGTACCCTATNCGTACAATTGTCACAAACGAACAGCAAACGTTTCTCGTTGGGGAAAATGACAGTGAATCTTACAATTTGTTTCTGACTGTGTACAAAACCACAAATGATATGATGATCGACGAGCAAATGGGAATGGTTTTGTACAGTTTATTTTTGTACCCTGAATATAACACACATACATTTTCTTGTCAACATAAAAAATAGTATTTAATTTTAAGTAGGTAACTATCGATGCAGCAGATTATTTCTTTCTTCAGTTTTTTAATTTTAATGGCCGGTCAGTAGACCATATCGGCAGATCAATCACAAAAAGTCATGATATTATTAAAAATTGTTCGCTAAAATCAATAAATTGAAGGCATTTCAATTCAGACTACCGATAGACTTCGAAATCTGTGCCAAACAGTTGGAATGGAACGAAATGCTAAAAAATTTTTCTCAAATGTTTCTCAGCCGTTCTCAAATTGATAACCAATATTTGAGAAAAATGTGTTTGTTGGGTATACATCATGCATATACATATGTGCATATTTATTCCCTGTGTGGCAATTGGCGTAGTCGTATGTTTATTTTTTGCGTTACAAAGCGGCAGTAGGGCTTGGGTTCGACGACCACTTCAGATAAGAAAGAACAAAATGTTTCCTAGGAGCGGTTGTCGCTCAAACCTTCAAACGTAGACATATGTATGTATGTACATATATTTTTCTTTTCAAAAAGCTTCTCGCCACGCGAACAAAATATAAGAGGATAAGCTTGGCCTATTTTTATTATTATTCTGTGCGATTATTAGATGTATTACATATGACATATGATTGGGGCTGTGGCGCTGGCGGGTGGCATAGTGCGATGGGCTTGATGCGCCGATGTATGCTAAATGCAGATAGTAAATGTACATTATCGGCATCATTTTCGAAAAACTTATTTCCGATGACTCCGCCAGCCCAAAAACTACACCAAGCTGTGACTCGTTGTGGGTGCATAGTTATTTCTTGCTAACCGTTCAAGATGATTCTCTTATATATATCGGTATCAATGTTTGGACCACTTTTACGCATTTTTTCAACTGAGTATCGCTCCATGACTAAATTTGCGAAAGACTGTAGCAACAATTGTCTGAACAAAAAAAAAACATTAAATTATCACAAATAATTGCTGTCAAAAATCTGCATCACCCCTGTATCCCAATAAACACATAAACGAGGGTGGCATCATATCGAATTCGAGACAAACTCGAGAAAGTAAATTTCTCGAATATATTCTTTGGGCTCGTTTCGAATTCGAGGCGAGCTCGAGTAAATCAGTTTTCTCGAAATATTTTTTTTTTTTTNTTGAATCCTTCTATTAATAAATATACAGCAAGTGAAAAATTTATTTTTCAAAACTAGTCATTTCACTTCAGTTCGAAAGCTCCAAAATTAAAAAAATTGTAACGAAGATGTGTTTGCAGATTGGCCGATTAAATAATACTAAAACATCAACAAACGGCGAATTAGTAGCTCCAGTGAATCTAGCTCTTCACACTCCGAACAAATCTAGTACGTATAATAAAGATTACTGTTTATTTATGTTGTTAAAAATTAAATACGGGTTCAAATTTATAATAAATTGATTAATAACTCATAATTTTCGCAAACCACCAATGAGCTGAAATCTTGAGTGGAAAAATCAATAATTCTCGAAAAGCCAACGATTCGAAAAATAAAAAATTTCTCGAAACGCCAACGATTCGAAAAACTAGTAATACTCGATTCGCTAACGATAGGTGACTCTCCTACGAATTCGAATTCGCCGATCTATAGCCGCCGATCTATCGTCTCGATAGTTCAATCAGAGAAATTGAGCTCGTCTCGAATTCGAGGCGAATTCGTTGTGTTTATTGGGTATCACCCTATGCAACCATATATGTACATACTCATATGCACTTGTGTGTGTATTTGTATGCAAAAGTAGAAAACAACTTATGCGACAAAAAGCTGATATGCAAGCCAAAGCATTGGGGAGCACACAGTTTAACAGCTGTTCCATTTGCATATGATTGCAATTCAATAACAACTGGACTTTGGTTATACCCTACAATTGTGAGCGACGAATGTTCAAATGCAATTATGTATTAAGAAATAATTACCACTCAAGTATTTGTGGTTTTTACAAAAGAGATATTAACAAAAGTTGTTGTAAAATAAATAGATGTGTATATAAATAAGTGAAAATCCTGTCAATTTAAGTTCCTCCAAGCTCATTGAGCTTAGTGATTTTGTAGTCCACAAGTCTAGTGAACTGGCTAATGTGTACCACAGACAAACTTATTGCTTCACTCCGTACTCAAACAAAGTTACTGTTTTCCCAGCACTTAACTGGCCGCTAGTAGTGTACAAAGTCGATTTTCACTAAAAAGTTGCAGTTTCAGTAACCGTTACTTTCTCTTCAGTGAAAATGCATGTGAGCTAGGGTTGTTGATTACAATAAGGCTATTGATGTATGAAGAATCGATGTTTCGAAAAATTGCATTGATGGTAGTTCGATGTATCGAATTAAAACATCGATGTTTTTAGCTATGTGTTTAGGAAAGCGTGATGATTTTTTTTTAATATTACACACAATTTCAAATTGGTTTTATATAATTTTTGTTAAAGAATGAACTAAATTTTTATAAAAAAAAAAAAAATTAAATACGAAAAAAATAATTGTTAAAGCTGGTCAATATGTGGTGAGTTTATATTTTGAAACGACGTGTGGCATTAATGTAATGTATTAAAATTTTAGTTTACTTAGTACTGCATACGAATTGTTTTTGCGGCCCGCCGGATTTTCATCCGATGGCGAGTTTTAGGCGAGGTGATACGAAATCGTCTGAAAAATTGGGTGATGACGCTAATCAATTTTACAATTTCACTACTTTTAAAGCAATTAAACTATTTCTTACTTAAATATGTACATACTTTTAATAGCAACTTATTAAGGGAACTTACTTGGACATGATTCCATGAAAGTACATATTTATAAAACGCTCGCTCAAAATTTTAAAGCGTACACAAAATGTAATAGTGAAAACTTAGTAAAGAAATATCTTTGATGTTTTTCAAAACATCTATTCATAAAAACACCGACAAACATCAATGTTTGAAGCCACGACCATCGATGTTGCTCGATACATCGATGTTTTTTAACATCCCTAATGTGAGCATGCGCTTAGTGATATTTTGCAGCCGATTAGCCAGTTAGTTAAGTGAATTGTCAGCTTCAATCATTTGCCAAACACTTTCATTATCACAGCGTGTGAGAAAATATGTAAAGAGGCCGGCAATTAACTGCCAAACAAATACGAGTAATATCGGACTTCTTATTCGTACATACATATCGATCGTTGTTTAAAGTACAAAACCGCGTATGTGAGGTTCCATAAATTATTTTAAACAACGATATGTATGTGCACATTGCGGTGTTTTTTTTCTGGGATGACGTTCGTGAAGAAGGAAAATACTAAAATTTACATAAAATTAGATTAAAATTTTTTCCCCAAAAAATCACCTCAAATGATAAAACAGTTTATGCTTTAAAGGTCTGTCTAAAAATATTTGAACATTTTATCAACGTAATCAAATAATTAAGATTTAAAAATTTTTCTAAAATGTGTGGCGAGAATGCTGCGGACTAAAAAAAATTTTAGGCGGTAAAATCAGGGAAAAGTATTACGAAACAGAAAATATACAATACTCAGTCAGTCATCTGAGGTAATTCTTTCAAAAAATATTTAAAAAAAACTGTTTTTATTAATAAAAAAAATCCATTTTCAGAGGTATTTTCAAACCGGTACGTAAATCACTCACGCTCACGTAAATCTTAATATTTTTCCGAAATATTTTGGTAGAAGGCTTAAAATATACTAGGTTTGGTAATCCTGCCGAAAAAACCGCGACTTTTTTGGTATGCGGTCTAATGTACAGTAGTCGAAAAAATTATAGCCGCACCAAATTTTCACA